ATAATGACCTTTATCACAATATGCTAATTTTTTTAGAAGGACCTGTAATTATCACAGGGGATTATACAAAGCGTATGCACAGTAGAGTCGGGGGCCGTTTAATTGGAGGGATTTTGGTCTTTGGACTTGGTCCTGTATCTATGTACCTATGGTTAGGTTCTAGGCATGTTATGTCACATTATGAAAAACAAATTCAAACCAGACATCAGGTTCAACAACATTTTAAAATTAATGTTAATTTTTTTTTAAACGAATAAAGACAAATACATCATGTTTCACTGTTAATGTGTTGATTTATTGCTCCTTGCCTGTGACTTGTTCTTGAATACATAACAAAAGGACAAACTGCATAAATCAAAAGACATGCTCCAAAATGTATGAAGTAAAACCCACAGATGAGCCACCATTTAATAAATGACAGACGTTATATTATTTTATTCAGTCACTATATTAGTTCATTTCATTGAATATTCTGAAGGCACTTTTAGATTTGCTGCTCAGTATAAACAAAAATAAAGATAGAATATGATAAAGTAAGGGGGGGGGGGGGGCGGCGGGTCCTCATGTAATGACTGACGGACCACTTTGACCTGTCCTGTGATGAAGCTGAGAAATTTTGAGGGCGATAGTTGCGAGGGGTGCCAGCATCACCTGTTCCAAACAAAGATGATAAAGTTAGACACGAACACTCAATACTGATGTCCCCATGAAGTTTCAACAAAATATAAACTATAAATTTGAACCTGAACTAACATATAGTACACGTCCTCTCAGGGACATGCCACTAAAAATACTGATGTATTTTCTGTTTTCAACAAACACTTCACTGTTTGGTACTTTTACCTGCGTGTCCTCTAAAATAAGTTCCTTCTCATAGCTGTCAATGTAGATCCGAACTGTTGCCCCGACAGTATCTGTCCCACTCAGTCTGTAGATTATTCGGGAACCATCGGAGAAGATAATCCGTAGTCCCTGCAGTGAACAAACGTTCAGCACACACTGTGAGAGTCTTTACAGGGACTGCTGAGAGGCTCTGGGGCAGAAAACTGTATTTATTCATTGATCTCTGTACACAGAACAACATAGTTCTGGTAGAGAAGCGGAGCAGAGTTTACTGTGCACCTGGTTCCTGGAGATAGTGCTGTCAGCAGGGTCCGTGTACTCAAAGTTGTCTGCTTTTTCCACCTGGTAAATCTTGTCTTCTACTGCAAATCTCTGCTTTACAAATGACTTGTCTGTAATCAGAATCTCCAAATCCTCCATCATGTCACACGCTGCATCTATGTCTACATCCTCGTAGTCGTATCTGGGGAAAATGGATAAAATATATTAGCAAGTCCAATAATTCTCAGTCAGGTTACCTGGACAGTTTATTAATTTTTTTAATATAGAGACGTTTCGCCCTCTATCTGGAGGGCTTCATCAGTCTGAGGAGTTCCACTAAACTGTTTCCCCACCAAGCAGTAAACTCCTTAAGTGAATCAACCAGTTTGCTGGAGCTAAGATGGTTTCTGGGGGCCGTCCTGTCCTCTGTTGACTCCTCCCAGGCAGCCAGCCACAGCCAAAGTGGTTCAAGGCAACAAAGTTCATGCTCAATCATCCAGGTACCAAATCCTATAATTCTCAGTCAGGTCATCTGGACAGTTTCTTTGCTTTTTAATTTTTTTAATTTTTATATTTTATTATTTTATATTTATTTTATTATTTTTTATATTAGCAAATGTTATTTCATTTATAGTAGGTATTCAGTTTGTCACTTGTTAGCAGAACTGTGTCTATTACCAACAGATGTATATTGTTCAATTAATTTGAAAATGGTAAATGTCCTGTACTTATATAGCTCCTTTCTATCTTATCAAGACACTCAAAGCTCTTTACAACAATCTGTGTCCTCATTTACCCGTTCATACAGCACTCTACTGGATCTATACAAAGCTAATTGAGCAAATCATTCTAAAGAGACTAATCAGAGCTTTATCACATTCATACACTGATGGGACACACATCAGAGGCAATGAGGGGTTCCATGTCTTGCCCAGGGACACTTCGGCATGTGACTGCTGGTGGATTCAAACTCCCAACTCTCCCATTGGAGGACGACTGATCGAACCACTCAGCCACAGAAAACATAATATTTTTAATATTGATGCTATTGTGTTCTGCTGGTTTTGTTGGACCCTAGGTGCAGAAACAACTCAGGGAGCTTAAAGTGTAAATGAATAATTTATTTAAATAACAAAAACAAATGCTGATGTGGCAGCAAAACATACTGTACATTTCCTAGGAAACATGGAGGGAGGACAGCCTACAATGCTATACAGAACAATCCATGGACAGGGCCACAATAATGAAACGCAGAATATATAGACATAACGAGGTGACAAGCACAAACACCTGGGGAAGGACAACAGGAGCTGATCACATGAGGGAGAAACACTGAGGAGGGCAGGACAGATGACACAAGACACAAAACACACACAGATCCACTCAGATGCAAATTTATGATCACATGGTTGACTTTCCCTAAATGTAATGGAGTTTAAAATAAAGTTTTCACTTTTTTTTTTACATTAACTTTATGGAAATCACTTCTTCATTACATTTAAGTCAACTTCCTGGCTCACAGTGATATACAGGTTCACTTTATGCTACTGTATAACAATCACTGCACTGAGGCTGGAACAAAGTGGGGTCTTTGTGAGGATGCTTTTCATTGTTGTCATCCATCGCCTCTGTGTGTGTCTGTGCTGGCCTGCCTGTTGGGAAAATATCTCAAGAACCACTGGAGAGATAAAATAATTGGATGAACACCTAAAACTTATTAGCTTAAGAGTCAATCCTATTCAAGATGGCCACCACAGAAAATTAAACTTAGAAAACAGAAAATGGCCATAAATGTGTCAGTTTTACGAATACTTGGCTATTTGGTGAGGTAGATGAGAGTAATTTATGTCACACTCCAAGTGGTACACCTCAAGTCATAATCTGTGTTTGTTGGTTGTTTGGTGACAGGTTTTGTGTTTAGAGTTGTTCAGTTTCAGTGGTTCGTTGTTTTGTCCCCTCGTGTCCAGTTTTTGTTCCCTTATGTTTCTCTGTGTCATCAGCAACTTCTCCCTCAGTCAGTACTTGTTATAGTCAGCCTGCCACGCCCATCTACACCTGTCCCCTGTTCCCCCAGGCACAGATGCAGTCCCTGTGTTCATCAGCACCAGTCCACATGGTAGCCTTCATTCATTTCTCAGTGGAGCATCCATCCATCCATCCATCCATCCATTTTCTTTACCCGTTTATTCCATTTTGGGTCACGGGGGTCGCTGGTGCCCATGTCCAGCAATCACTGTGCGAGGGGCGGGGTACACCCTGGACAGGTCGCAAGTCCATCACAGGGACACATAGAGAGAAACGAGACAAACAACCATTCACTCTCTCACTCACACCTAGGGACAATTTAGAGTCACCAATCAGCCTAACATGTATGTTTTTGGTCTGTGGGAGGAAACCGGAGTACCTGGAGAAAACCCACGCATGCACGGAGAGAACATGCAAACTCCACCCAGAAAGGCCCCTGGACCGGGGTTTGAATCAGGGACCTGTTTGCTGAGAGGCAGCAGCTCTACCAGTTGCGCCACCGTGCTGCCCCTGAGCCGTTGTTGCATTTCTTATTTCCTCATGTAGACATTTTAGCTTTTGTTGGTATTTTCATTTATGGTATTTGATTCTGTTTTTTTATGCATTAGATAATAGAGGAGCGCTATGAATTTCATTGCAAGCTCTGTTTAAATGACAACAAAGACATTGAATCTTTAAATCTGATGAACAATGCAATGCAGTGACATATAATATCCAGTAGATGGGAGCACGTGTCCTGAGCACCTGCACGTGTCTGGAAGTTTTTAACTTAAAACCCCATTTCAGTTCTTTTTATACTCAGCACAAACTGCTGGTTACACTATAATAAAATATATTTTTTGTCTCATTACTTGGTTAAAACTATTATTTCTTAGTTCTTTATCATTTTACAAAATAAAAAGGAGATTCAAATTCAATTCAAATTCAAATTCAAAAATACTTTATTAATCCCAAAGGGAAATTATTTGTTGTTGTAACTCGTTATCGTCATTTCATTAAGAGATGTTATAGATACTGATGGCTGGAGGCAGGAAGGATCTCTTGTAAAGGTCCATGCCACATTGGATCCTAAGAAACTGGCTGCAGATGCCGTCCGATCCGTCCTCCCAGACTCGGCTGGCCTCTCGGCTCCCCCGGGCTGTAGGACTGCCCGAATGCCGAGCAGAGCTCCTCCCAGAGCGATGGCCTCTCCTCCCAGCAGCCTGCTGAGCTCCCTGCGGACAGACAACTGTAGGTGCCGAGGGACGATCCTGTCCTTCCACTGTCATGAGCCGTTTTTCCTGCTAGTTCCAGGATCTCAGTGGTCAGGCACTCGAGCACAGCTGGCAGGTAGATGAGAATGCATCCACAGAACATCTTTTTCAACTCATTTGAGATTTGAGGCTGTAGTTGAGATATTCTTTGAGCTTTTGAGATGTTAATCAGCTGCTGTTGTTGTAGAAAACTGCCTTGTTGCCATGGTTACGCATCATAACAAATGTCCAAAACTAAAAAAATTTCTGTAAAAATTCTTCCAGCTGCACAGCATCTGACACCAGAGGAAACAATCATCCAAAAAATGTGATTTACATCCAGAGAAAGAGGAATTAAAGTTTCCAAAAGCAAAATCTCAGAATGAAAGTAACAGAGCTGCTCCAACATGCAGCCACCTTGAGCGGCGCAATTCTAGACCATAAGATAAAATAAGAAATGATTTTGATCCCAAAACTTGTGTGGTTTGTACCACATTTTCCTCTTTCAGTGGAAACTAACTACTTTTCCTTTTCAAGCAAGTTAAGGATAGTTGGAGTCTTAAAAATTTATATTAAAAAATGGCAAATAATTTTATTCAGTACAAATGGCTGGATATGGCCACCAGTGACCCCCGCAACCCGAAAAGGAAGAAGCAGGTAAAGATAACGGATGGACGGATGAATGAAAAAACTAATAAAATACTGTAAAAATAAATTCATTTAAGCTACTAAGGCACAGTTTAAAATAAATAATGGACATTTTTTTAATTGATTTGTAACAAAATGTATTAGAAAATACCACTTATGTGCCAGGAACAAAAACTATGCTGCAAACATTCAGAAACAACAAAAGCAAATGGTGATGTGCCCCCCCCCCCACACACACACACCTTGTGAAGTAGTTCCTTCCATATTTTATCCAGTGCCCCTTAACGATATCTTCCACGTTCTGTCTTTTGCTGGAAAGGATAGAGAGCCATGCCAGCACAGCCCAAAGCCCATCCTTCTCTCGAATATGATCTCCACCTGAAAAGTTAGAGATGTAATGATGTCATCATGTCATGCATAAAATGTTCTTTTATTTTTATTAAATACGTAGGAGCATTTTTGATCCAATACCTGTTCCAAAACTTTCCTCCCCACACAATGACAGCATGCCTGCATCCATCAGGTTTCCAAAGAACTTCCACCCTGTTGGAGTCTCATACAGATCAATTTTCGTTGCCTTGGCTACTCTGCAGGAAATTCAGTGACAGCGTTTTCTTGGCAACAGACATGAAGTACAACTTCACCGACAGAGCAGCAGTTAACAAAATGTCAAGTGCACGCTGAGCCAAAGTTTTACCTGTCTAACGCTGTGCTTGTAGGCATGCTACGAGCAAAGCCCCTCACGCCTGTACGCTGAAAGTATGGGATGCAGAAAATGTTGTCAGCAATCACAGCCACAGAATCAGACGGGGTGACGAAAAAACCGTTTTTACCCAGGATCATGTTACGGTCCTAGCAACACACAAACAGAGGTTTGAAACCAAGATGATATACGAGTCAGAATTTTAAAATTGTATCCTTTAAGAGTGAAAATGAAAACAACACACCCCATCCCCATCAAATGCAGCACCAAAATCATACTGTCCGTCTTTCATGCTGTCAACCAGATCTGTTGCGTACATAAGGTGAGGATTGGGGTGCTGACCTCCAAAGTCCTCCATAGGGACACAGTTAATGGCAGAACTGGCAGGACAACCCAACTCATCACACATGATCTTCGTCACATATGGTCCAACCACTGCAGACCAGACAAAAGACGCAGGAAGGAAGGAAGATTAGTTCAAGTCGTTGATGAATCAGACCTAACACTGAATACAGGAAGTAGTACTGATACTGTAGACGTCTTCAACAGAAATAGCACACTTCAGCACTATTGTATTGATTCAGTTCTAGACTCTGCTTCAGGAGAACACCCAGAACAGATCCAGTAATCTGATCCATTAAAAATCCCATTTCTGACAGACTGGTGATTTTTTTTTCTTCTTCTTTCAGCTGCTCCCTTCTTCAGGAGTCACCACAGCGAACTAACCCACACAAAGACTTGGGATTTGTTTTTACGCCAGATGCCCATCCTGACACAGCCACAGGTCACCGAGCTACCACAGCCTTCTGTGTGGAGCAGAGAGATGTTATCTAGGGCGCCCATGGGAGCAGATGATGGGGGTTAAGGGCCTTGCTCAAAGGCCCACAGTGGGGCAAATGAGGGGGGAGGCAGGTGTGGGTATTTCACCTTTCCCATCTACATTTTGATGCTGTCAGTTCAGGGAGTTGAGCCGGCGACCTTCCGATCACAGGCCCACCTTCTCTAACCTCTGCACCACCACTCCCAGTGTGATTCAGACTGATGATATTTCTTCAAAAATAATTATAAATAATTAAGTCCAACACAGCATCTCTCTGTGTTTTGGTAGGTTAGAATCAGGACTAGACTGTGCAAATTATTGGAAGTAGTAGTGTGTAAGTGTGACAAGGAAAGAAGGGCGATACTTTCAGCAAAAAAGCTTCGGCTTTTTGTGACTTTCAGCTTCAAGAGAAACTTTTTGAATTCTCACTCCAGTTTTGACTCCTGTCTAACTTCCAAGATCCTGGCAAAAACCACTGCAAACATGTTCCTGTTTTTAATATAATAACATCACTTTACAATGTACCTGTTTTTGTTTTGTTTTTAATACCATTTTCTTTCTATTATTGTCTACTGTTGTCTTTGTAGCTTACTGTCGTCCTCACTCTGTTAAAAATAGCTATCTCTTGTAAATGAGTCCCAGAGGCCCAATGGGATTAACCTGTATAAATAAAGGTTAAATGAATGTGTAAAACGTCTGCCCCAGAAATTTGCACAGATTTGTGGTGCCAATCAAAGTACTGTAGGTTCTTTCTGAAAACAAGTAGAAAAAACACATTAAGACATATTACATTTCACATAATTTCACAATAATTGCTAACAATAATTGACATCCTCCATGATTGACACATATCATAATCAAATAAACAAACTTTGTTTTCTGAATATTTTTTAATCAAAAGCTTCAAATAAATGCATAAGCCTTTATAAATATTTACAGTACGTGACTATGTGTTCAAGGAACGTAAATATGCAGAAATAATTAGACATTACTGTATTCAGGTGACATGTAGCTTTAAAGAAAACCAGTTCAGCGTGGTTATGACAGATGACCTCAGGTTCAGAGGCCATGGTCAAGAGAAGCATTCCTCATGCTAAAAAGTCAATATGAAGTCCTAGTAAAGTTGAAATACAAACATGTATGTGTAGGTGTGTTTGTCTGCTGGTAAAATATTTCAAGATTCACTGGAATGAAACTCTCATAAATTAGATTTTTTTTTTAAATTTCATCTACATCTGATTAAAGTCTGGAGTCAAACTGATTCAAGATAACCAATACAGTCAATCCACCTTAACAAATACACCTGCAAATAATAAAAAGTCCAGCAGTGGGAGTTCATACCACAGATCCTAACAGTACCTCTCCCTCAAAGATCGCCCCCTCTGCAGTCTCATCTGTTTCTCAGGATGTTGTCTATAGGATAAGATGAGATCTTGGGTATCATGATCAATCATTTCTCAGGTTTGTATCCCTCCCAATCCACAATACACTGAAGACCTCTACAATGGCAGTAAATGTCCAGTATGCATCAAACTGTATAAGCAGGATGGTTGTCAATGAGCCGAGGGGTGGAGTGGTGTTGGTTGGTGGGCATAAATCACTCTCAGTCACAGTCATAATTTGGGAGATGTGGAAGGTAAGATGGATCCTCTTGTTGGAGGGAAGAGAGAGTCAAACTATGGATGTGTTGATAATGGCTTTGATAGGGTAAGGACCGATGAACCTGGGTGCAAACTTCCTAGTGTGTAACGAAGGTTAATGGCATGGTTGGATAATTGTATTTTCTTGCCCACCTTATAGTTCAGGTTCAGTTCTGATGTGTCAAGTCCTCCCAGCCACCAAGGATTGAACATGCAAACTCTACCCAGAAAAGCCCCTGGTCAGGATTCGATCCAGCGACCTTATCGCTGAAGGGCAACAGCTCTACTAACTGAGCCACCTGACCTTGTTTCTCCAAGACTTAAATTTGGTGAATATTTTTCATGGCAGGTCATGAAAGTGAAGCAGTACTTTGACACAGCAAGTGAGTGTAATAATGAGTAAAATCTAAATTTGATATGCTTTGTACATGTTGCAGAATGTAATTTTATCTCACCTCCATGCATGGCATCTAGTCTTATGTTGATATGGTTCTCTCCAGACAGAAGCTCCTTCAGAGCAGCAAAGTCAAAGATGTTTCTCATAAGGTTAGCATATGATTCAACAGGGTCAACGATTTCCACTGAACACAGCAAAAACAGGGAAAGAAACCAAATGTTTATGTTCTGAACCAGACAGAAACTTATAGGATAAAGAAACACTTATCAAACAGTACTGCATGAGAGTGTCAGTTCCAGAAAAGTACCCTCTTCATTTCTCCATCTCTTACAAAAATTTCACACATGGAAAATATATGTTTTATTTGAGCCTGAAGCTAATGTTGAAGCAACATTTCTGCTGAATCTTGTTTCAAAGTCTTCCGGTGCATTAGTCATGCATAACCAAAATGTTAGCAAAGATAAAACCTTGATTTAAAAAAAACTCTAGCGTTATAACACACATTTGCTTTTAAGTGGACTATATGTTGTGCAGTAATACCTATTTACTCTGCAAAGTTCTCTTACCCACACCTCCTTCCTTTCCATTTCCCAGTATTTCTTTTAAATTGTTTATGTTTTCAATTGACATGACTAATGTCTGATAGACCAAAGCATCACATCACCTGTGAAAGGTTTGAACTTATTCTCCAGATCAAACGTTTGTTTTCCCAGCGTATTCAGATCTACACGCAGTCCGGGGCAAATGGCAAACTCCTCAATGGTTCGGCTGATCTGAAAAATCTTGTTTGTGATGGTTTCCTTTGCAGGCCCTGAAAGCAGAGGAAAACATTTTCTATTCCACTGATGTTCTTATGTACGTGCTATAAAGCCTTGACTCACTATTTTTCCGCTGTTGTTTCTGACGAGCCTCTATTCCACAGACTAAACCCTATTCTGCGTCCAAACCACATTTCTAATAGCAGCCTTGTGTTGCCTGCTTTAAACTCTGACACTATTTTCCACTTGGCTTTTGGCTCTGCTTAATTCCTTCTATCATATTACCATACCTCCATTTGCAGTATTAAACTTAATGCCAAAGTCTCCATCAGGTCCACCAGGATTGTGGCTGGCAGTGAGGATGATGCCACCAATGGCTTTGTGTTTCCTGATCACACAGGAGATGGCTGGCGTTGACATTATCCCGTGTTGTCCAATGATCAGACAACCAATCTGTAGAAATGTCACAAGACTGAGATGAAATGTTTCTCCTTACATCTGAGAAAGGTCTGAAAAAGTCCATGACTTCCAGATTTCGTGTTTTTAACAATAAGTTCTAGCTCAATGTTTTCTATAATTATTTCATTAAACTAAGAAAGGGTTAGACACTGCAGGTTAGTGTCTTTTAAACAACAAGAGATACAAGCTGTGACTTCTCAGCTGACTAAAGCCATTTTTTAACAACAGCACGTGGTTAGTTTGTATTGTGTGTGGATTCTTATTCTGCTGTATCAGCCCTTTAATAATTCTGCTGCAGCTCCATCAAGTTGAATAGAAGTGTTTAATAAGATTAAAAACCCATTTAACTCTGGGTTGTCTTTATCTGCCATCAGACGATTCTTTGGATATCTCCACAGAGGGTGATCTGTCTCCATCTAGCCCAGTATCCTCATCTGTCACACCAACTCACCACATCTCTTCCTTCACTACATCCATGAACCTTCTCTGAGATTTTCCTCTTCCCTGGAAGCTCCATAATCAATATCCTTTGGCCAATATATCCACTGCCCTCCCTTTCCACGTGCCTAAACTGTCTCAGCCTTATCTCTTTTACTTTGGCTAAACCTAAGCTGCTCCTCCTATGTTTTCATTTCTAATACTGTTCATTTTGGTCACTCCCAATGAAAATCTGAACATATTCATCTACTCCACTTCCAGCTCCTCCTTCCGCTGCTTGTTAGAGCCACTGTCTCCAAACCAAACATCATAGCTGGTCTCATTGCCATGTTGTAAACCTTCCTTTTCAATTTTGCAGCAATACCTCTGTCACATTTATCTCCAGCCACGCAAACCTCCATCTCTTTCTTTTTCCTGTTCCGCACTCACTATAAAAACATAAAAAATCTGCAAACATCATAGTGCATGGTGAGAGGATTCAATGTTTTTATGTTATTTTTCTTTAGTTTTTCTGTGATTCTTGTGTTTTGATTACTTGTGTTTCCATTCTCCCCAGTGTGTACTCATTATGTAGTTCTGCTCCTGCCCTGCCACTTTCACTTGATCCTTGTAGGGTCTTCCCATGTGTTTTTTTATCGTCCCCCATTAGTGTTCTTTAAACTTATCTTATATTTTTGTTACTTCATTATCTGTGCTTTGCATTTTCCAGAACCAGTCATGTTTGCTCTCACGTGTTCCCCAGATATTAATTCTTGAAGTGCTTTTACTGTCCCAACTACGGTGGCCCTGAGGTGTAAATGAACACAACAGCTTATTTATTTTTGTATTAAATCAGTTTTCTTCATACCTTTGAGCTCTTTGAGTTTGTCTGGAACTTGGATTCCCAAAAATTTCACAAACATGACACATGAAGACTCCTGGCTGACCTCATTTGTTAATCTGTCCATTACCACTGCAAACAAGAAGAGGCTCAGTGTTGATCCTCGATGTAATCCTACCCCACACTGAACCCACCTGTCACTCCAAACACACACCTCCTCACTGTCTCGCCATTTTTTGTCCTGTACCATTAACCCTCATAAATTTGTCCACCACATCTGACTTTTTCCAACAGTCTTGCCATTTCTAAATGATCATCTACCTGCCTTTTTGATGTTTGAAAATCAAAACTGAAAAATTGAGTGTCTCTTGTGTTGCATATCTTTGATTTTTAAGCATTTTATCTGATATTTGTCTCCTAAACACCACCACAACACAATTTCATGCTCTTGATACAAGCAATGACACAAAGATAACAATATGTGTTGATGGGACAGGTGACCATGCCGTTTTAACAAAGAGTTACATGCACACACAAACAACACAGCGGCACTGACTGACCCCATTGGCAGCTGCCATTTGAACAATGACCTCAACAGCAGATCTGTTGAAGAAGCGTCCATCTCCTCCCACCACCATGGTTGAACCCTGCCGGTCAGGTAAGTCAATTGATGAGAAGATACTCTGAATGAAGTTGTGCAGGTAGTTCTTCTTGGTCTGAAACACATAAACCTTTTTCCTCAGGCCGCTGACGCTGGGTCTCTGGTTGGGGTAAGGAGCTGTAGGAATGGTCAGCACCTGCAAAGGACCACGCTCCATTGTGTAAAGACGAAGACCCAAATAAATGTGTTTTGTCGAGGGCAGGGCCTTTTAATTTCCTCGTCTCTTGATATTGAGGAAAGTGCAGAATGGAAAGGCAAGAGCATGACTCCTCCTTATATATTTACTGGAATCACAGGGTTACATTGGTGCTTCTGCAGCTCAAAATAACTTTTTAAATGCATGTGTGCAGAGACAGAGAGTAACTAAAGAAGCTCCTTCACACATGTGCAGAGGGATCACTGTCAGGGCTTCAGGCCAAGTCACAAAGAAGTGTGTGTAATAGTAGAATGACCACTATTCCCAGAATGCTTTGCTACTACCCTCACAAGGTTTGCATTTACGGGGGCACTTCCTGTTAAGTTCAATAAAAAGTTTCCTCCCATTCAACCCATGGCATCCCGTGTCTTCATTACACAGTGTGTGTGTTTGGGTGTGTTGGAGTCCTCATAGTAAGGTGTTACAAGAGTAGTATAATGTTTGATAATGAACCGTCCAAAAAGAATGACAGATTCTCATCAAAGGTACCAACACAGTTTTAGATACTTAACTTGTTGTAATGCTGTCTATGAAAACAGAAGGTGTAGTGTGGTCTATAAGTAGACTAACAAACACATGTAGCACTATAGGAATGTGCCTGTTTGCAGCACAAATATAATTTGTCAAATCAAAATATACACAAAACACAATCACAAAAGAAGGGAACTCCACTGAAGAGCACTGCCCTCAAGAGGTTACAACAATAATACAGCAGCAACAATATTGTAGTACTGATAACTGAACAACATTATGTTTTAAACACAATTTCAACACTCAGTATACCTGTATATGAGTGGGTAGACTAATAAACATTATTGACACTTTATGTTCTTGATTCTAGTCTGTGGTACTATTTGCCAAATATGAAAAAGGTTATTCTTAGCTGTATCAAATTTCAGTTTAAAAGCGTTTTCTCCAGTAATCTTTTAGATATATTGATAGACAGTTCTGAAATGTGGGTCCACACGTTGTTTGCGCTCAGTTGAACCTGCCAAAAATCACTTGCAAGCTTGAGTCACATGACTGCCCTACTGTACATCAGGCTGGTTGCAATCTGTAAAGATAAACAAATGTAGTGGAATCAGACAAGCATATAATCTCAAAGGTGTTTATGTGGAGATATCAAGTGAATTTGCTTTAAAACACAGAAGAAAAGATCAGCATATGTAAGATTAATGTTAAGATCGATCAGGAATTAGGCAGAATGGTGTTATTGGGACACAAAATTACTGCCAATATTAGATGCAAATTATTTTTACTGTGAAACAAACAAACATAAGACATCCCTTTCAGTCTTCATGAACAAACTGCTGCAACTTCTGCAGGTTGGATGGGTGTTGCTTGTATCCAACCATCTTTAAATTAAACCACAGATTCTCAGTTGGACTGAGGTCTGGACACTGACTGGACCATTCCAGGACATTTAGCTGGTTCACCTTAAATCCGTAGTGTTGCTTTAGTAATGTGTTTAGGTTATTGTCCTGCTGAAAGGTGAACTGTTGTCCCAGTCTCAAACTTCTAGGAAACTGTGACATCTTCATCTCTATCTTCTACCCCCTATCTGTAACCAGGTTGCAGTTGCAACAGGTCCAGGAGAGTATCCCAGACATCCATCTCACCAGAAACCCTTTTCAGTTGTCATGGGAGAGCCTAAGGCATTCCCAGATCAGAGAAAATTCACATTTCCTCCAGTGACTTCTGAGTCTTCCCTAACGTCTCGGAGGAGTAGCGGCTCTACTCTGAGCTCCCCACAAATGGCAGAGCTCTTCACTCTATCTCTAAAGCTGAGCACGGCCACCCTATGAAGTAAGATCATGTTGGCCGCTTGTATACAGGATCGTGTTCTTACATTCATGATTCAAATCTCGTGAGGGTTGGAACATAAACAAACCAGTAAATTAAGAGCTTTGTCTTTAGATTCAGCTCTTTCTTCACCACGACTAACCAATGACAAGACAATGTTCCAGTGATGTCATGATCATGTCCTCTGTCCCCTGCCACGCTCACAGCTTTCCATGTCATGTTACTGTCTCTGTTGTTCAGCCATGCCCGCTCTTCACCTACAACTCAATCAGCACTCATGCCCTGCACCTGTATATAAGAACTCCCTTCACTCACTCAAGTTCCCGGCCAGATTATCACATGATTCTTGGTTCCTGATATCCAGCCCATCTTGATTTCTTGTTTCAAGCCCAACGTGTTGTCTCAACCTCAAACCTTGCTTCTTTGGATTCAACCTCACGCCTCGTATTTTGGATTTACCACTCTGCCTGCTCCCTCTCTGATTCTGCTCTGCCCATCTGACCCTGGGACGTCTTGATTTTCTGCCTTTTGGATTTACGATTGCCCATTGGACTTGTTTTCTTGACCTCTGGCTACCTGTGCATGACCCCTGCTTCGTTTCTCAGACACTTGGATTATTCCATGGACCACATTATTACAGTGCTCCTTTGCAGCTGCCCTGCAACTACGGACAGTGACATCATCACTGCATGATCTGACAGGTGACTCTCACCCCACCTGCCTGTGAAGACACGCTCCCGCAGATGGACAATGACTCCCTCCTGCAGCTGCAAAATTAATAAAAAAAAAAAATTCTTGTTTTTTACACTATTGCTGTCTGGCTGTATTCAGAATCAAAAAACCCTGTTCCTGACAAGTGGAGTCTGGTTGATCCAAGCAGACTTAAGTACTGTGTGTTCTCATTATCAGACTGGAGACAGCTGTGGTTAATTGGCTCCACCCTGCTACTCCAGAGCTGCAACAAGTGTTAGTGGATGAAAAGCCCCAAACTCTACATTATCCCTTCACAAGAATCACCTCTTGACAATCTTAAATGTTTTTCAGGGTGGGACCTGTAGGAAGAAGAGATGAGACTGAGATCTAAGATGAATGAGTGGGTAATCCAGGTTAACTCCTCTGGACCATATCCTTTCCAGTCGACCAGGTATTGAAAACCATGCCCTCTGTGGCAAACATTCAGGATGTGACTGACATTAAATGTTGAGTGGTTATCAATGATCCGGATGGGTGAAGGGAAGTCAGTAGGAGGGCAACATGGGCTTTCTGAAACTGGTTTAATTTGAGACACATGGATGGTGGGTTGGATCCTCATGAATGTGAGTAACTTCAGTTTAACAGCTGATGGGTTAATGATTTTATTGATGGGAAATGGACTAATACATCTAGGACTTAGTTTTCTGGGAGTGTCCTTGATGTTAATGTCATGGGTGGAGAGCCATACCCTTTATCCTGATTGATACACAAGGCTTGAGGAGCAAAGTCTGTCCACAACCCTTTTATTCTGATCGCCTGTACAAAGAAGGGCCTCCTTGGTTTGTTGCTAAATCCTGTAGCAACAGCAGAGATGATGCTGCACAGAGAGGACTGCAATCTCAGACTTCTGACTAGAAAATTGAGGGGGTGAGTAGTCAAGAGAGGCTTCAAAAGGAGACAGTCCAGTGGCAGAGGAAGATTAGGTGTTGTGGATGTATTCAATCCAAACCAGATGTTGACTCCAGGAGGAGGGGTTGTTGTTGATCACGCACCTTAAGGCAGCTTCCAGTTCCTGGTTACATCTCTCTGTCCGACCATAGGACTGGGTGTGGTTACCAAATGTGAGATGGACCAAGGTCCTGAGAGCACTGCAGAATGACCCCTAGACCTGGAAAATAAACTGGGGGCTGTGATCAGAGACAATGTTGGTGGGGATGCCAAGAATGAGGAAAACATGATTGACTAGGAGCTGAGCAGTCTGAACACCTTCATTCATGCTGTGACACACTTCCACAAACGTCATGAAGAGCAGGCTTTGATAGATCCTGTTCTTTAAATCAAACAGGTGCCCACTCACACCTGATCATCATCCCGTTGATTGAAAACACCTGACTCTAATTTCACTTTCAAATTAACAACTAATCCTAGAGGTTCACGTACTTTTACCACTCACAAATATGCAATATTGGATCGTTTTGCTCAATAAATGAATGACCAAGTATAATATTTTTTATCTCTTGTTTAAATGGGTTCTCTTGATCTACTTTTAGGACTTGTGTGAAAATCTGATGGTGTTTTACTTCATATTTATGCAGAAATTGTAATGGTCAGCGGCCACCGCTGACACCCCCATTGGCCCCTGTCTCACACTCACTCCCTCCTGCTATTGTTTCAGCCCCTCATGCCATAGTTTCTTTTCCCTGCTTTGCATTGCCTATCACCCATCCTCCAGCTCAAGCCTGCTCCCTTCACTTCATGCCACGCCTCCCTTTTTTCACAGCAATCAGCCCTGATTCCACGCACCTGTTCAGCTCATCTAGTTCACCTGCTCTGCACCTTTTATAAGTTCCATTCTCACTCTCAACCAGGGCTGAATTATTACACGACTCATGGTCCCTGATAGTGAAGCCTTCAATCATAGTATCTTGTTCCATAGTTTTGTATCCTTACCTTGTCTTGCCTTGAACCCTCGCCTGTTTTATGACTCCCCGCCTTGCCCCTTTCTGGATTTGTCTGCATATCTGACCATGGTAACGACTCTTGCTCTCCCTTTGACTACTCTTTTGGATCATGACTCGGCCCTGTTCTTGCTTCTCTGCTTCAACGTGCTTGACCCCTGCTACGACCATCGGACCATGCCTCTGGATTTCACCTGCCATGTACAGACTGAGAAGATTGGACTTGTGCCTTGGACCCTGACTCCAGTAACCAGCAGACTAGTTAATAAAAACTGTTCTTGCTTTTGCACTCCTGTGTCTGGCTTATTAAGAATCCAAAAACCCATTCTTGACAGAAATATAGAAAATTCTAAAGGGCTCACAAACTTTTAAGCACCACTGCACATCACTGTTACATGACTACAGTAGTCCCTTGTTTCTTGTGGGGGTTCATTTCCCTGCCCCCCGCAATAAGTGAAAAACCACGAAGTAGGGATAGTAGTACAAGTAGTAGTAGCAGTAAGTGGT